TTTTTTTTTTTTTTTTTTTTAAAAAAAAACAGATTTTGAGCCTCCGAGCGCCCCCTGGATGAAAAAACTTTTTAACTCGTAAAAAAAAAAGAGAGCCTTTCTTTCCCTATGCAGTCAGCTTGATCTTTTTCTACAAAGCACACTTTTAAAACAGGCACTATTTACACGAATACAGATTCATTTCACACTTATGTCAGAGCACCCATAACAAGTTTTTATTTAATATAATTCTTTTCAGTTGTTCAACTTTTGAAATGTGAAAATGCCAACCACTGCGCCCTTCTTTTTAATCATATTAAAAAGTTACAATTACATCTGTCAAATGTCGCCCTCTTAAGATAAATAGACAAAAACTAAAGTAATTTGTATTGTCCTTTCAAAAAAAATGTTTTCATCTCATTCATCATCATCTAAATCGTACAGGAATAAATTTAGCTGGCGCTTTAAAAGTGATGAGGAGGCTTCATACAGAGGATCAGTCCATTTGCTCTTGTGGGGAAGATTCTTCCGTTTATGTGACGATGTACGGGGTTTGAAGAAGACGGGGGTTTTAGCAAAAGTTCTGGGAATATATTCACGCTTGTTTGCATCAGATGTGTAATGCTGCAAGTTAAAAACACAGTGAAAGTACTATAAAAGTTGGCCAAAGAAACGCATCCACTCCGTCTAATCCATTCTATTTACAGCATCAGCAGTTGAGCTGTGAAGATTGTGGGCGGAGGAAAATGTCTTAATTTTTCATTTAAACTGAAGGGAAGACCCTGTGTTTACTAAGAGCCCGTTGCTTATTCTGGTCTCAAATACACAGGGATGTCGAGGAGGAGTCGGGGTTTTTGCACACTTGGTAAATCAACCAACACATCTCTGGTAAGTTTCCTGCCAGAGTTTGATGATGGTTTTTGATGATCATTGTCATTTAAATGATCAGTACTCAGAATCACAATCATGTGTGTCATTTCAGATATAAACCTTTCATGAATGTCAGTTTATACCCCTCGGATTCAGTTTGCCATTGTTTGTGATCATCATAAGTGATTATTAAATGAGATAATGTAACTGAATTGAATGACGCCCCATTCACACGGGGCGTCAGCGCTTTAACGCTTGACGGAGGGCGTTTCTGAAGCTTGGCGCTGACGCGACCCTCATAGTGACAACAGCCAATCACATTAGTCTTCTGGTGTTGCATGAACGCGATTGGCTAGCGTCTGCGCTGGGGTATTTGCATTAGGTGATCTGATTGGCTGACGCCTGGGTTGGCGCTTTACAAAGCGTTTATAAAGAGAAAACTAAATACAGCTTTACAGCAGGGTGGAAAGAATATAATGATACATTTAGAAAATAAAATAAATGATGATTTAAATGAAGTTAAATGGCCTGGCTCCAAACCATTTTTTAATAAAAGACTTTAAACAATACTAGAAACAATACTGTTCTGTGTAAGCATAAAAGGCAATTAGAGCGTCTACAATTGTTTATAAATATTAAAAGCATATGTGAAATCATGCTATAGTAAATCATAATTGGAAAATAAAAAGTCATAATTATTAGATAGTAAGTCATTATGACATAAAAAAAAAAGAAAATGTCTTCTTTTTATGTCTTAATTCTGACTTTTTATAGATTTATCTGAATGTGAAAAGATCAGATCAACACTTTATGGTTATAACCCTGTGATTATTTCTCAGTTTTATTTATTCTGTTATAATAGTAAAGTTATAATTCACAGTGATAAGTTCATTGCACTTTATCAACCATTTTGAATTTACTTGCTGATGAATAAAATTGAGTTAAAACACTGAAAGAAAGAAAAAAGTCATAAAGAACAACATGAGGGAATAAATGACCATTTTCATTTTTGGAGGAACTCCACCTATTGCCTGCAGCTACAGTACATAGTACAGTGCAGTACAGAGGTGTCTCATGGTTCCCTTATGAAGGCAAGAACACTCAAATATCCAGGCCTGGTGGATTTAGGAAGGAAGTTTAGCCTACTCCTTCCTCACATTGTGGGCCGCCGGAAGGGGCGGCCGTCACCCACCGACAGACTTTTCCTCCTGAATAGCACACGCTGCCCTGCTCACGGGCCGGGCAAACACTTCTTCGTTAACCTAACTGAGTTCTTCAAACTCTTCACTCTGCTAGAGTTGTCTTTTTAGGTAAGAAAATGTGATTTCACTTTTACTTTATTTATTTATGCTCTCTCTCTCTCTGTGTGTGTGTGTGTGTGTGTGTGTGTGTGTGTGTGTGTGTGCGTGCACTTGGATGGGTTAAATGCAGAGCATAAATTCTGAGTATGGGACACCATACTTGGCCACATGTCACGTCACTTCTTATCGTCACTTCTTCTTAAATCATACAACTTTTAGGTTCAAATGGTTATTTCACCATAAGTCTGTACATAATAACATAGGGGCACTTGATAAATAGTTTTACACAGCCAGTCTATGTTCTCTTGATATTTGATGTATATTGTCTTAATAGGGAATGGAAGCATGAATGTTTCAAATATGTGGTGCATTTGTACTTTATGGTACATTTGAGATATTTAATGTTCTGTACCAGAATCAAGGATATTTTTTTGTATTTAAAGATATATGTAATGTATGTTATGTATATATTGTATGTAATGCTAATAATGATCATCTCTAACAAAAAAAAATATATATATATATAATTTATGGTTTTAGCAGACACTTTTACCCAAAGTGACTTACAGTGCATTCAGGCTATACATTTTTACCAGTATGTGTGTTCCCTGGGAATCAAACCCACAACCTTTTGCACTGCTAACACAATGCTCTACCACTGAGCCACAGGAACAGCTATATATATACACATTTTATAAAAAACATTTTATATTTTTAATCATAAATAAAATATACTTGGGTTTGGAAGTTTCAAGGCTTGTGTTGTGAGAATAACAGCAATTACAAAGAACCACACTGCCTGCGTCTAGACCATACCCTTTGCAATGCATCTCTATATCCTACATTAGCTCTCGGCAGAACTATTCCCAAACCATAGAAAACCTAATTTGAACTTTTCATCTGTACTTTTAGCTTCTTTATTTCATGTATAACAGAGAAGCCATCATAACTGTCATCTACTTAATGCTTAAGCCTAAATAATGACCAGGGATAACATTCTCCTCTCACTCCTCAGGTGTAGCTGTTATCATGGCAACCAGTGCGGTCCCTAGCGACAACCTCCCAACATACAAATTGGTGGTTGTGGGAGATGGAGGCGTGGGAAAGAGTGCTCTTACAATCCAGTTTTTCCAAAAGATTTTTGTGCCAGATTATGATCCTACTATTGAAGACTCCTACTTGAAACACACAGAGATCGATGGCCAGTGGGCTATTTTGGATGGTATGTGCCAATATCTCATTATGTGTAGTATTGTTCTGGATTATATGTCAAATTCATGCTTCTAGTGCTTCCATGTTGTTATGTGTATTTGCAGCCTTATCAGTAGGCCTGTATTAGAACTCATTAAAAATGTCAGCCTCTACTACTACTACTAATTTTATGGTGCTTTTTGTTTGTTATTTTGGAGCATCCATCCCCATGCAAAAACCCATAGACATAACAATAAACATAAATAAGCTGTACTGTTCAAAAATGTGAGGTCTGTCAGATTTGATATGCGTTATGCTCGCAAGGCTGCATTTAGTTAATCAAAATACAGAAAAACAGTAATACTATAAAATATGATTACAATTTAAAATAATTTTCAGTAGCCATTTGATCAATTAAATGCATCCTTGAGATCGATGGCCAGTGGGCTATTTTGGATGGTATGTGCCAATATCTCATTATGTGTAGTATTTTTCTGTATTATATGTAATATTCATGCTTCTAGTGCTCCCATGCTGTTATGTGTATTTGCAGCCTTATCAGTAGGCCTGTATCAAGCTTCATTAGAACTCAAGAAAAATCATGGCTAATGGAAAATTCAGCTAAAACCTACTTCAGTTGGTAGCAGTTTTAAATGGTTTATAACTGGTTGAAGTCGGTCCATGCTAGCTTAGGTCTGAGAAAAAAGGAAAATAATAAATTATCTAAAATATACATGACAATGTTTCATTCTGCTTTCTAAAGACTAGTTGGTTTATGCAAAAATACTCTGATGGAGGGTAGAAAATATTGAGAATATTATTTGTATATAGAAAGAGATCAAATATTTTTCTGATAATATTTTAATATCTTTATTTTTCTTTGTATAATATGACCACAGTATATAACCTGGCCATTGCCTTTGCTCTTTGCAGTTTTAGACACAGCAGGTCAAGAGGAATTCAGCGCCATGCGAGAGCAGTACATGAGGACTGGTGACGGTTTCCTCATTGTGTTCTCTGTGACGGACAAGGCCAGTTTTGAACACGTCGATCGTTTTCACCAGCTCATCCTACGAGTGAAAGACCGGTTAGAAATCATGTGTCCTTCATACAAAACTCAAGTTCACAACACATTTTTGACATCTCAAAATATTCCTTACTCCTTTTTGTTTTGAGAAAAAAAAAATAATAATAATGTTACATTTCTTTTGTGTCTCCACCAGGGAATCTTTCCCCATGGTTTTGGTGGCTAACAAAGTGGACCTAGTGCATCTGAGGAAAGTGACAAATGAACAGGGCTGTGAGATGGCCGCCATATACAAAACTCAAGTTCACAACACATTTTTGACATCTCAAAATATTCCTTACTCCTTTTTGTTTTGAGAAAAGAAAAAAAAATAATAATGTTACATTTCTTTTGTGTCTCCACCAGGGAATCTTTCCCCATGGTTTTGGTGGCTAACAAAGTGGACCTAGTGCATCTGAGGAAAGTGACAAATGAACAGGGCTGTGAGATGGCCGCCAAACACAATGTGAGTCCAACCTAGATCAGAGCACTACTTTATGCAGGACTGACAACAGTGGGATGTTTGTGTATTTGTGTTGACTGACAGTGGTTAAACGGTTAGTTCACCCAAAAAATACAAATTCTGTCATGATATACTCACCCTCATGCCATTCCAAACTAGTATGACTTTCTTCTGTGTAAGAGGGGGCGAATTTCAGCCTCTACTACAACTAATAATTTGATGGTGCTTTTTGTTTGTCATTTTGGAGCATCCATCCCCATGCAAAAACACATAGACATAACAATAAACATAAATATGCTGTACTGTTCAAAAATGTGAGGTCTGTCAGATTTTCTATGCGTTATGCTCGCAAGGCTGCATTTATTTGATCAAAATACAGAAAAACAGTAATACTATAAAATATTATTACAATTTAAAATTATTTTCAGCAGCCATTAGATCAATTAAATGCATCCTTGCTAAAAAAAAGAAAGTATTAATTTCTTTTGAAAAAATTGAATCTTACTGAATCCAAACTTTTTAACAGTAGTGTATATTTTTGTAATGAATCTGATCTTGTATACGTAATAAGTCATTGCATTTATCAAAAGATTTGAACACTTTCAGTACTTAAAATCTTACTTTACTATGTAAAACTCACATTTTAAAGTGGTTAAGGAACTTCTGCTCTTTTTAAAGGCTGAAGGAAATTGTATGAGTGACTTCCTTGCAGTAATTTCTATTTCTTAACCATTTCTTCAGATTACTTACATTGAAACAAGTGCCAAGGATCCTCCGATGAATGTGGACAGAGCCTTTCATGAACTAGTCAGAGTTATCAGGTAAATAAAACTCATGATCTCAGATATGGGTTTGTCTTTTCATAATGATGTATTAGGTTGATATGCAGTGAAATATAAAAATGTTATCATCTACCTCTGCCTACCCAGACATTTTTGAGTTCACTTTAACGTTTGAATCCATTATTTTTATACTGACACACTTCAGTCAGTTATTTTTATATTGACACAAGAATGATCTTTCATTCATTCTTTGCATTTCTAGACAGCAAGTTCCAGAACGGAGTCTGAAAAAGAAGAAAAAGACAAAGTGGCGTGGAGACAGAGCCATGAGTTCTCACAAGCTTCACTGTGTGATATTGTGACTACCTCTTTTGTCGAAATCATCAGCGTTCGGCAACATAAACTGCCGGAGAGGACTGCCTAGAGATCTGCACTAATCAGAGGACCACAGACTTTATCAAAAGAGCTATCTCTTCCTGTCTCAGGGAAGCATATTAGGTGAATCAAGGGATCGATCACTGGTGCCAGACCAAGGAGGAGCAATCAGTACAACACGTCCGAATTGAAGCACTGCCTGAAACAACAAAAATCATAGCAAATCAGAACATGATGGATGTTTAATATACTATGTGAGGCTACATTTTAGACCAGTGAGATTGTAATGTGGGTGGAGCTACCCAGAAAGATGCATCCAAACCTAAACCATACACCACAGTCATTTACACACCTACTGTGTACATCAAAATTGTGTGCAGCTTCCAAAAGTTCATGTAATTATGTGGCTGATTGTTTTGCAGAGCTGTCTGAATATGTTTTCAGTAGTTACCACAATTATGAAGGGATATTGTTGTTTAACCTTCCAGAAAAATCTGCCTTACAAATGCATATTTATTGGCATGTTTGAAGGAATCTGTAGCTATAGTAGAACTTGTTTAAAGAGACTTAAGTGTCATAGAGTGTTTGATACATCAATCAAAATGGCCTTTACTGTTAACCACAAATAGTACTGATATGACTGAAGGACCAATTGCACTAGCAAGACTTTTTGCACTTTCAATATTTACTCATGGGCTTTTGCTGTTTAACATGCTGTTTAAAATTGCCTTGTGATGTTAAAGGCTCATGTTTTGAATTTTGTTGCACACTTACAGATGTTCTGTCTATCAATGAAATAGGTCCTGAGAAATCACGTGTACAGTGATAGCTCTGTGATTAGTAAAAAAAAGGCACATTTTTCATTAGAAACAGTCTTTGCTTTGAATCATTTTGCACTTTTGGATTTGCTGACATTGTCTTTGGAGGAAGTTGTTTTTTAAATGAGGCATGTGACTAAAGTTAGCAAAATAGGTGAAACATATTCAATACCGTTCAAAAGTTTGGGGTCAGTAAGATAAAAAAAAAAAAGAAATTAATACTTTTATTCAGCAAGGATACTTTAAATCAGTATTAAATTTATTAAAAGTGACAGTAAAGACATTTACACATGCTGTTCTTTTAAACTTTATATTATATTTTTTTATCCTGTTATTGTTTTTACATATATATTTTATCATTTATATCCTGATAAAAAAGTGACACGTTTTCCACACAACTAGTAAGCAGCACAACCACTATCAGCATTGATAATAAGAAGAAATGTTTCTTTGAGCACCAGATCAGCTTATTAGAATGATTTCTGTAGGATCATGTGACACTGAAGACTAGAGTAATGACTGCTGAAAATTCAGTTTTGCCATCATATATAAATGACACTCTAAAATATATTAAAGGTGCAATGTGTAATATTGACAGTAATGCAATATAATATACATAACTATGTTTTCAGAGGTGTATAAATACCTTACTTAATGAACTGTTATGTTTTATTACCTTAGATTGAGCTATTTATATCTACATACACCGCGGGTCTCCTTACATGGTCGCCACCATGTTTCTACAGTAGCCTTAAATGGACAAACTGCTCTACAGAGCGCGTTTCGTCACTTTGTTGTTCTTGCGAATAAAACACTGACACAATGATGAACAAGTACATTATTATTTGCAATAACGTCAATTTATTAAATAATTAAGTAAATATAATTGCTTAATGTATACCTTTGTAAAGAAATCTCATTGCTCTCTGCTGTCTATACCGACGACATCTTTACCTGTGTCGGCCACCGTAGCTTCTCTAAAGGGAGGGGTGAGCGGGGGATTGAGCTGTTGGTTGCAATTCGCAACCTCACCGCTAGATGCCGCTAAAATTTAGAGGGGCGTAACATTTCCGTCTCACGTTTGAGGCATTCGGCCAATCATAACGCACTGGATATCTGGCCAATCACAGCACACCTCGCTTTTAAGACCGATGAGCTGTGTAAACATCGACGCGTTTCAGAAAGGCGGGGCATAGAGGAGAAACAATAATGTACAGTATGTTGAAAATAATGTGTTTTTTGAAACTTAAACCGCAAAAATTTCATTACACCAAATACACAAAATAATGTTCTTTTCAGCAACATCATATGACCCCTTTAAAACAGAAAACAGTTATTTTACATTGTAATAATATTTCTGTTTTACTGTGTTTTTGATCAAATAAATGCAGTCTTGGTGAACATAAGAGATGACTTCTTACCGATTCCAAACTTTTAAACGGTAATGTACCTTTTCTTTTTCTCCATATGTTGCATTCAGTATGACTGAAGGTTGCCAAGAGAGAAGAGAGAAGAGCATAATTCTGCTGGATAGATGGGTTATATTTTACACCTGATCAGCCTTCAATATTCAACAGTTTGTCAAACCTCTATGTTGGACCAATTTATGTGCCTGTGCCAGTCTGATAAATAATCAATTTCTTAGCCACTGGTTCTTCTAACTGTTCCCAAAGGACAGGCCTGTAGGAGCTGATCCCGTATGCCACTAAAAGCACGATGGGGGCCCTAAGCCAAATGTCGTTGTAATGTTCAGTATAGCTTTGCTCTGCACACTCATTTTTATGTTGACATATATTTAAGGAACCATATTAAACCTTGCTGTTATCTGTTGAATTGGGAGTTTTTGGTTTATATAGTTATAGTTTGTTAACATCAGGTCTTACAGTGTATTAGACTATCTAAGTTTGGTTTAAATGAGGTTTACATAAAAGCTAAATCACAGTAATCTAACAATACATTCCATATTGATCCCCTAAACATATTCGTTTTTTCTTTGGTTGGTGAAGTACATTAAACACTTCATACGTAGAGCCTTGCTATTAGTGCTATTAGTGCTAATAGTCATAAACCACTGTAATAGTTCACTTCTGTACACAAGATCAAAGTTCATACCAATCCAAATAATAGATCTGGACAAGGTTTGTTGAGCAGTAATCATTGTTTACATGCGCTGCTTGTAAATGAGGAAGTGAGTTGTTTTGCATTCAAAGGTCATCATGGGTCTAATGTTTTCTTTTTTTTATATTCTGTGGCTAAATTAGTTTTATTTTTTTTATGAATGAATGAATGCAAAAATTGTGTGTTGCATTACATGTTATTGCATGCTAAAACTCTAAACCCCAATCTCTGAACCAAATTTTCATTACCTTAAACCAATTTGTTGAATAAAGCACTCTTTCTGCTAAACCTTAAACACGTTCAGGCAGTTAGGCTCTATTTGCAAATCTCATGCACTCTATTTGCAAAACTCTAAACACATTCTCATTCACTTAAAGGTGTCATATAATGCGATTTCAAGTTTTCCTTTCTCGTGTTACAAGCTGATTGTGCATAGATAAGATCCCTGAAGTTGCAAAGACTAAAGTCTCAAAACCAAAGAGATATTCTTTATCAAAGTTAAGACTCTGCCACGCCCCCCTAAAACGGCTCGTTCTAACATGCCCCCACATATCTACCTCACTATGTGGAAATATTTGCATAATGCGCCCAAATGTGCACGCAAAGAAAGAAGGCGTGGTTTCAGTAACCGCAGTTAGTGTTGAAGCAGCATGTCAGGAAGACGCTGTGTGTTTCAGTGCAAAAGCACTTTATTTGGCCTTCCGGAAGTAGATGCATTTAGGAATCTTTAAGATTACTTACAACAGAACAGCAATGCATTTTATGGACAACCGTTTC